GGGCAACGCCGCGTGGATCGAGGTGTCCACGTTCTATCAGCGGCTTGGCTTGCGAGGGCCCAACTGCTGCGACGTACCGTGCCAGGGTGCCCGAGAACCGGCGAAGCACGCTCGTGGCGTGTTCCGTGTCTTTCGCGAGAAAGGTCAGGGGACTTACGCAGAGGATGCGATCTTATTTCGTTGCGTTGGGCGTGACCCTGAGGGGCGGCATTCGACCCGGATCCGATCAGCCCTCATATTGGCCCCCCGTTTATTTTCGACAGGGGCCTGGAGGAGCTCGAGAAAACAGGGGCGGCTGATCTCGGAGAACACTGATTCGAACGGGCCGAGGAGCAAGGTTTCAGGCTAGACGCTGATTGCGCGGCGTGCAGGTCATTCCCGGCCCCATCTCGCAGAGGGCTGGTGCGCCGCCGTTGAGTGTGAGGTGACTCGCGATGACAAGGGGCTCGGGGATGCCCTCGTGAACTCCGCAGGCGACGTGCCCATGGTCAATGGCGCACTCTGGCTGTGAGACGACGTGAACAGTCCAGCGTCGCCGAAATGCTGGCCTTTGGCTGGCCCAGGGCCGTCTCTGCAGATAGGCCGCAGGGGCGTGGCTGACGTAGAGTGCCTGTTTGATGCGTAGCTGGCGGCCGACTGCGCGGAGAAGTATATTGCGCGACATCGGGGAGTTTTGATGTGGCTACTGCTCAGCTATAGTTTACCCAGAACGATCCAGGCGCACTGTCGCGAATGATTATGGAGGAATGGGCGAGGCCCACCTTCGAGGAACAACGCAAGCCATGGCATCCCGAAGAGAACTGTTTGTTCGCGAGTTATGTCACATGTGCGACAATCGATGCATCGCAACCCTGTAGCTTCCCTGTAGATATGTTCGATAGATATGGCGCCGTGGGATATTTCCGCAAGCGCGCGCGCTCGCCCGCGAGATCTATGATGATGCGCAGGGAAAAGTGCGCCCTTGAAGCGGCTTCTTCCTTAGGTGCACGCAGCGTTATGTCCGTAATGGTGGATGTTGACGGGCATGGGAGATGTGAAATTGAACGTGTCCTTGATGCTCTCGACAAAGTTTGGCCGCTCAATGGTGACTTCAAATCGAGTGGTGCTCGATCTAGATTGGAAATCGCCATCAGGGCACGCAGCGTGATGCTCGCTTCGGCAGCAGTTCTCGCGAAGGTGAATCGCGCCGAGGTCGAACTCCAGGAACCTTTGGTTAAGTGGTCACGCGTGTCCTCGGGGTCTGAGGCTGGCGGGGGCGCGGGGGCGGAAGCTGAGAGAGTATTCGCGTTGCCCGAGCCCGTTGCTCCGTCGGCGTCCGCAGAGACCCATGGGATAGGATCGAGGTTGGCTGGGCGCCGCGGGCGGGAGGGCCGGCGCGGAAGGTCGCAGCGTTGCAGCGATGTTCGGCCCAGCTGTCCGAAGAAGCGAATGGGGCGAAGACTCTGGCTAGCCGATGGGGGGCGCCGCGCAGGCGCTGCTGCGATCGCGGCAGGTCCGAGGCCGGCGAAGGCGACCGCGATCAGGGAGCCGCTTCGGTGAAAGGCAATGGTGCCCTGAGGGGTCGGACGCATGCCTCCGAGAATGTCCGCTCTGGAAAGTATCGTTTCTCTGGGGGTGGAAAGCGCGGGGGTTAGGTTTATGACGGAGGCCGTGGCGACAGGGGTGCTTCATCCTCTTGAAATTGGTGGAGTGAGTCGGGCTCCTGGTGAACCAGCGGAGGAATCGGTGGAAACTTTGGCGAGTGGTCGACTGTCGATCGGCGGCGCAGCCGTCCTGATCGTTGCGAAGGGACATGGAGTCTGGGCAGTGACCCATGGCCGGACAGCCCCTGGAATGGCACTTCGAGTAGAGCTTGGGGTGGCAGCTCGAAGTTAACCAGGTCGAAGCGCGACCCTGCGAATGCGGGGGGCGCCCGCAAGCCTGTCCAACGAACTCCGGGGCTACATCGAGCAACCGAGCCTTTGCCTCTACAGTGGCGTTGTACAGCTTTTTGGGGGAGTTGGCGTCCCCTGGCGAGGTGCGCTGAAGGCTGGCACGCGGGTGAAGTAGCTCTGGTGCCCGCCGCGTGGCGAGCCGTTCGTTTCTTCCGCCTTGTTTTTGAGGCGTCCATTCGCCCACCTTTATGCGCGGTTGGCGCGAGCTACGTATGGTGATGGCTCGGCATTCGTCTGGGTTCGTATTCTTCCAGTTCGCCCTGTGTACTATGTAGTCGCGTCTCGATTGGCCGCGTCTGGGTTCGTCCACTGTCGGCGCGGGCCGCCTCGGTTCGGAGTCGCTCCCTGTTGATTTGTCCCGTTTCAAAGCTGAAGCGGGTATTGCCGGCGAGGTGGTTGTGCGTCCCGCATTTTCGATTCCAGTCAGCTCTGGGAGAGCTCATCGATCAGGTCGCTCGAACTTCAAGTGCATATCTTGTCGGTCAGGGAAAAGATGCCAAGAACGACTTGGCCCACGACGCAATAGAGCACAACGGTGTTCAAAACGGCGTTGTGTACCTGAACGCCGCGCGGCGCAGCACAGCACTGCCCCTGGCACGGTACATCACCGTCGCCCAACCAGGTGTTGTTTTCCAGGCGGCTGCCTGAAGAGGGGCGGGAGGAGAAAACGGATGAAACTCGATCAAGGGAATTGCATAACGGTGCGGGCACGTTCGCCTCCAGCGAATTGCTCCCCTTCCTGCGCCTCCTTCCCACATCCCTTTTTTCCCGCCCCCGTGAATTCCCCCCCCCCCAAATCCAAGGATTTCCGAGACTTTTGGTCGTCGGTCCCCTGTTTGGAGATCACAGATCGCAGATCGCCGACTCCTTTTCGAATCGCGGGCCGTTGGAGCTTTTTGCGTCGTCGTCGTCGGCGTGATCGTCGTCGTTGTCGTCGTCGTCGTCGGCGTCGTCGTCGTCGTCGTCGGGGGGGGCCGTCGTCGTCGTCGTGGAGGCCGTCGTCCGCCTCGTCGTCTTCGTCGTCGTCGTCGTCGTCGTGGTGCCGTCGTCGTCGTGGAGGCCGTCGTCGACGCCGCCGGCGAAGTCAGTGCAGTGCAGTGCGCCCGCCCCCTTGCGAGGGTCCGTTCGCCCAGGCCGCAAGGAGGAAAGACAGGTCTACTCTGTAAGAACGGTTTTTTGAAGGCAGATCTGCCTTCAAAAACCTTTCTTACAGAGTAGACCAGTCTTTCCTCCTTGCAGGTAGAGTGCGAATCCAGAGCCAATCTAGGCTCAAGCCTGATGAGCCGCTGATTGCGGCGAAAGGTAGCACCAGCCAAGAGAAGCAGCGAACCTGAAAAAAAGTGGGCTTGCCCGCCAATCAATCTGACTCCGTTCGACGACGGACAACACGCACAGTACAGATGAGCAGCTGTCCAAGGTTACCTTTTGTATCACTGCCCATTCGGCCGATCCTCGGCGACGTTTTGCTGGCCAGCCCCCATTTGACAAAAATGGCAGCACGGCCTTGCAGAATTCTTCGCGTCCTTACCGCGCATCCCTGCGATGCGCTTCGGCTGAAGGGTCCGCCCAACTACCCGGCATCGGACCGCCCGAGTCGACCCGACCGACCGTTTGGGTCTGCCCGTCTGCTCGTCCCTCTGATTTCGCCTGCCCCCACGGGGAGGGAATCCCGCCCCAGCGGGCGGGGCGGTGGTAGCAGGTGAAGCGGGCGAGGGTCGGCGGCGGCGGCGAGGCCGCAAAGTCCCGCTCCAGCGAGAGGCTGGGAAATGGCACTGGCGAGCGAATTGGCCGGCGGGCAAAGGGGGGGGGGACGGCCGAAGAGTTCGAAGACGTCGAAGGCGTCAGGCGCTCAGGAGAGAGGGGCGTCGAAGACGTCGAAGACGGTCGAGGAGAGAACGGACGCTCAGACGTCGAAGAAGTCGACGATGAGCAGCCAGGGGGGGCAGCAGCAGCCAGGCGCGCAGGGCCAGAACGCGGTGGGCGGCCGTGCGAGCACACGCACACACGGACAGTCTTAGGACGAGAGCTGTCGTCGCCGTCGCCTTCGCCGCTGTCGTCGCCGTCGCCGTCTCCGCTGTCGTCGTGGTCATCCTCGTCGCCGCCGCCGTCGGCATCGCCCCGCCGCTGCTGCCGCTTCTCGTCCTCCTCCTCCTCGTCCTCCTCTTCCTTTTTTTCCTCCTCTTCCCCTTCCTCTTCCTGTTCGTTTTGCTCCTCCTTCTCCGCCTCCTCCTCCTCCTCCTCCTTTTGTTCCTCGTCTTCCTGCTTCCTGCTTCCCCCTCCCCCTTTTCTCCTGTTCGCTGTTCGCTGCTGGCTTCGGGGTCGAAGTCGACGCAGTCACCCCCTCCTCCTCCTCCTCCTCCTCCTCCTCCTCCTCCTCCTCCTCCTCCTCCTCCTCCTCCTCCTCCTCCTCCTCCTCCTCCTCCTCCTCCTCCCCCTCCCGCTCCTCCGCCTCCTCCTCTGGCGGCGCGCGCGGGTCTCACCCACGGCTGGAGTCGTTTAGCGGGAGCCAGAAGACACCTCCGCCGCCCTTCAGCAGGGCGGTTCCCCAGGGGATGTGGCCGACTGCCCTGGACAGCGGCCACTCCCAGGGAGGAGGGGTCTGCCAGCCAGGGCCTCCAGACTTGGCATGCTCCTCCTCCTCCTCCTCCTTGTCCTCGTCGTCGTCGTCCTCCTCCTCCTCCTCGTTTCCTCCTCGCCCTCCTCCCTCCTCCTTCTCTGTGAGCATCTTGGCCAGCCCTTGGCGCGCGCCCGAGCGCCCGGCCTGCCCTCCTGCCGCGGGGGCCGGCGGCGGCTGGCCGCCCCCCACTCTCGCCTCCGCGGCGGGAGCCGCGCCAGCTGGGCGTCTCGCCCAAGGTCCGCCATCCAGGGGAAGAAACGACGGCATACATACTCCAGATCTCGTAGTAAAAGGGAGGGGTCTGGACCCTCCAAGGCAGGCCATTTCAGACCCCTCCCCCGTGGGAGAGCCCTCCAAAAAACATCGTCCCCAGACCTCCCAGGCCCTCCAAGATAGCCTGGGAGAGACCCCCCCCGAAATGAGACCCCCCTCCCTTTATTACGAAATCTGGAGTACAAACTTTGGCGACAATCCTCGCGGGTTGCTCGGATCGGCGGTGGGCACCCCTGGCGCGCTCGGCGCGCCCGGGGGGGGGGCCCGCGCAGTGC